ATTTTTTGTAAAATTGTTGCGGGGCCCGATCTGTAGAATTGTCCTGGGGCCCGGTCTGGCTCTCGGCGACCCTGCCCCTCAGTAAGGGTGTTATCCTCCAAATTTTTTCAAAAAGGAAGATAGGTCAAGTAATACCTCATTAAAAGGGTCTTGTCATTCCCAAAACAACGCTGCTGACTTTTTGAAAATCGAGCCACTCGTTTAGAAAATTATGGAGCCTTGAAAGTTAAAAAGTGATTTAATTTAACTTGAAACCTTGCCGTATTTTTGAAATTACATTAATTATTCCCGGATTTAAAATAAAATACTTCATTAACTCGAAACACTAACACATTTGTTGCTGTAATGGTATTTTTTCAAATGAATTTGCTGTTTTGCCGCTTTGCAAATTCTTTAGCTTCTTTTTTGTTGGTAAAAAATTATCGGGTTTTTTGTTCATGTTTAAAGTATTTGCTAGATACCTGTCTTATCGTTAATGTTTCAGTTTCAGTGTCATTGTCATTGTGAACATTACATTTATCAATTATGGTGTTCTCAATTGCAGAAAGAGTGGAAACTATTGAGGTTTTTTCAAAAACAATGAGTTTAACCAACGGCATCTTGATAACATCTCTCTGGGAAAATTGTTCGCGAATTGGTGGCAAAATTTCGCGAAACGGGTTCGGTTGACAACAAAAAGACGAACCTTGAAAATCCAGTGTTAAATGAACCTACGGAGATAGCAGTATTGGGGCAAGTTGCAGTGGATAATACGCTGTGTACAAGATAATTGGGCATTGCGACGGGTGTAACTCGTACAAGTGTCCAACGGGTATTAAAAAATACAAATTCCATCCTTATAAAATTCGCTTAGTGCATAAGAATGACTTCGATCGTCGCTTGCAATTTTGCTAAATTATGAGTGAGCGAGCGTTGAACAATGAGAATTTCCTATTTAATGTCTGTTTTTCGGGTGAGTGTTCTTTCTTCCTACACGGTTTAGTGAATCGCCACAATTGCCATTACTGGGCTGACAGCAATCCAACGATTTTTAACGAGACACACACAACACCCCGAGAAGTTAAATGCATAAGCTGGTATTTTTGGAAATTCCATTGTAGGCCCTTCTTTCCTTCCTGGAAATTTAACAGGCGATATGTACTTGGATTTACTATAAAATGCCATAGACCCAGCTCTAACAAATATCATAGAGAACGATTCCGCATACAACGAACAGAAACTGATTTTCTAACAAGACAGAGCTCCTCTGCATTACGCACTAAATGTGCGCAATTATTTAAATTACACATTTCCAGGACGATGGATGGGACGAAGGGGCGTAACTGAGTGACTACCTCGGTCACTCGACTTAAGTCTTTTCGATTTTTTTCTTGTGGGGACACATAAAAATCGTAGTTTACAAAACTGCACCTGGCACATTAGAAGAGTTACGAAGAAGAATCATTAACGCATGTCGCGAAGTGACACCGCAAATGCTCCAAAATGTACGGCAACGGTTTGAAGATAACTTGTATCACTGTATGCAAGTTGGCGGGCAGCACTTCGAGCATTTACTTGAATAATACGGTAAGCATTGAATCGCTTTCTGCATTTTCCGTCAAACATTATTGTTTAACTTTTAAGGCTCCATAATTTTCTTAACGAGTGGCTCGATTCTCAAAAAATCAGCAGCGTTTTATAGGGAATAACAAGACCCTTTTAATAAGTTATCACTTGACCCCTTTTCCCCTTTGGTAAAATTTGAAAGATGACACCCTTACTGAGGGGGTTGAAGGTTCTACTATGCTTTTTGCGCCAAAAAGTGTCCCCTTGACAAACAAACTTAACGTGTTTTTGGATTTCGCCGAAAAGTTATATTCCATCCTGTAATGCCTTGCGGTACGTTTTCGATGGGCCGCCCTGTATACGATGAAATTTGTCTCTGAGACAAGTCATATCGTGAATGGCACGTTCTAAGAGAGATTATAGCCAAACAAAAGACCAGATTTTGAGAAGCAGAATTGTGTGAATGACTCGTAGTTCGTATAAAAGAAAATTTTATTTGTGAGAGTTACCTACAAGTGGCGCTAAGCAGCAAGTTTGAAACAAGCAGTTCACATTCAAATATTTGTGGTGCACTGTGCGTACTGGGCATGGTGGCACTGGTGCAGCGCCCAGCAGCACAGCAATTCAGTGATGCGATGTTGTGGTTTTCCGATTCGACTCCGACCTCTCAAGTGCTTGCTTGTTGCTTGTTTGGCCATCGGCCGACCACCGCACTGCACTATCTCTCGATGAGGCCTCGTTTCAGATAACATTTTAAGGTTGGCCACGCACGTTATACGTCGCTGATAAGTACTTTTACAGGAGATGGCATTATAGTAGTTTTTTATAGAAAATTGTTAAAGGATACATTCATTATTACGTGATTTTTTATAAATAATATTGTTCACTACCTACCTACAAAAATGATAAATAATAATCAGCTTGGAAATGAAATTTAGATATTTTTTTTATAAAACGGGACAGTTTCCAACTTAAATTTACCAATTTAGTTGATTTCTCTAGCATTTATAGTTAGTTCACAATTAATTATCAAAGTTCGAATTAATAGGTTGGCCCTATCGATAGTTTTCGAAAGTATCAAGAGTTACTATCGATAGTACTATCGAAACTAGACCAATATAGCATATGATACGGAATTAATGGCTCTGGAATTCCCCTGTGATTGCATACGGGGATGTTTCTTTAATTTATTTATAAAGCAATAGGTGGCTGCACAAACAGGAAGCAGAGACACAAGAAAACAGGAGGAGGCAAGAGGTGACGTGCGTATACGATAAAAAAATTAGTTAGGCAACCTTTAAAACAGATTACGATTCAGTGCTGAATTGCAGAGTGTGTTCTTATAAATTTGGTTTATTTTTAATTTTAGTTTTTTGAATAGAATTTCGTGAAAATGAACTTGAAAAATACTAAGAACATGTGAATTTAAACTATCGATGATTGCTTAAAACAATCGATAGTTTTCGATAGTAACAAACTCGATAATATTGCTAGTGCTATCGATAGTATCCGAGTACTATCCGCGAGGCAGGTACGCTACGTCATCGACACCTCTACTGTTTTTTGTGTTATTCGAAATATCTGCTCAAAATATCCGGTGTAAATATTGTATTGTTCAGAGCTGGGTAATTACATGTACTTTAAAAATAATTACAATCACAAAGTACTTTTTCAAAAAAAGAATTAATTTCAAGTACAAAGTACATGTTGTAAAAATAGGAATTATATTGATTTAATTACAATTACAAGAAAAAGGGAATTATCGATTACTTCTATAGTTACTTTTCTAATTTCTCTGAGGATAAAACAACAAATTATGATAGAATTGAGGAACCATGAACCAACCGGACCGGTATTAATAAAATTTTTAAATAGGTAATTCGAAGTGTTCAACCCGAGAATGTTATTCTCAGGTTCAACTATAACAGCCGTTTGCAGGGACTTTCTTAATTATTCCTTAAAGTTAGACATATCTTAAGGGCGGGTTTTATAAAGCTTACTTAAAGTTAAACTCGGTTTGAGGTGACACACGACGAATTTTGTATGCCATAGGTACAGTCTAAATACCATTTAGCACTTTCCCCAAACATTAGACTGCACCTATAAGAATCGGAAATTGACATGTATAACCTAAAACTGAGCTTAACTTAAACAATGTTTATGCAACCAGCAACAAGCATATTGTTTTCGATACCATTTAAAGTCTCCCCTTAACTTAAGGGAAAAGACAAAATCCATAATAAGTAACCAGTAGCATAAAAATGGAACAAAGAAGTTAATAATAAAATATGAGCTTTCAATAGTTTATTGATTCGGAACAAAAATACAAAGTTCGTGTACTTTTATATCATAATCATTCCATACAAATCGGGCATCATTAGCCTGGGACCTGCATCATTTCATAATATATTTCCTTAGTTTATAATGTTTGTTTATGTAATGTAAATTATATTTATAATACTATAAAAACAAAATTTCTTAAAAATAAGGGTATCTACATCTACTTACTGTAATTATTTTGGGTTCAACAATTTCATTAATTCACTAAGGCTCTTTCCACGGCACAGCGCTACGTTCCAACACGAAATTTCTTGTTTTTATACCACCGTGCATATCGTAAACACATCATTTTGAGGTAATTTAATTTTAAATTAATTAAGGTACTTATTACTACAGTAATATTTTTAGTTGTATTAGTACACGTGCTTACTTACAGGGTTTGCTACTGGTACATTCAAATGTCTTGTAATTAAAGATCTATAAAAATTGAAAGCTTATGAGTTCGATAATACCTAGCCCTATCGGCTTGAAATAAATGCCATTGTTCTTGTAGAATTAAATTGTATTTATTTTTGATAAAAAATAATATACTTTTACTTCTATACTACTATATCTTTATACTTATATCCTATTAGTATGAAAGTTACGTTCGCCTTAGGTGAAAAACGTTGTTATTTTGTACTATAAACTCTTAAAGTCATCAAGCTCTCAAGAAAACTCAAGGAAGCTTTTCAATGGTAAGTTTATTTATAACTTCAAAAATCTCAATCTCGAATATCCTTAGTACTGAGGAAAAAAGCATGATTTTGACAAAATAGTGAATGGCCGCGAAAAATGTTTCGTCTGCGGCGCTGTGCTTACTGGCCTGCTGTGTTTTTATACAATCGCTTCCCCTTACAAAAATGTCACAGCACGCCACTGACTATTTTGGAATAGTCTAGGTAATACATTTTAGTACATTATTATTTATAACAAAATATATGTAATAGGTACATACTGATTTTGTGTAATATTATTTTAGTTGTATGTTGTTCAAGGGTGCGGTTTGAATACGACGCCGATAATATTGTACAAAAATAAAATGCGGGGTCGAGGCACTGATGGTATCAGTAAAACTTAAAACAATAATATGAATGTTCGACGTCTATGGCCATCATTAGTAATCATGAAGCAATCCAGAGACTGCAACACACCAAACAGACCTTTCAGAAATCTCAAATCAAGTGGAGCTTTTTCTAATCAGCTCAAGAGGCAAGCGGTCTTTCTCAACTCTCTCTCCGCTTAAATGTTAAGCGCCAACAACCGAGCGCCGAGAGAAGGGAGAAGTTAGCACGCCAGACGCCACTCGACGCCAGCAGCCGGCCCCGGCCGCCAGTTTACTAGTATATTTTGAGTAGAGAGGTATGGTTAGTCCTCTAACCGGCTTCTGCAAACATCGCGCGGTAGGTCTCTTCAAACGTCAAACTTAAGATTTAAACAACTAGACAGACGAATGGACTCAAACGAATAGTGCTTGTTCAATAAATTACTAATATAAAGTTTTGATTTTAAATAATTAATCGTTTATAAAAAGTGAACGGTTTCATAATAGACTTGTTTAAATTTCGCTGGCGCCTTACAGAATTGAAAATAAACATTCGGAAAGTTTGGTAATAATTCTGGAACCGTGTGATTAGCGGATTGAATTAGAGAGACCTACACTCAAAATGACTTTGGCGATTTGCGTTTATTATTTGGTTTGGTATTGTTTGTCTTTCTTCAGTGGATTAGTTTCGGCTGAAGAAGTTGTTAGTGTAAATAAACCGATAGTGAAATCTGCGAAACCTTGGCATTTTTCTTCAGGTATTTATTTATAATTATTAATATTGTTTTTATCTTGTACCTATCTCAAAGTTTAAATGGTAGTACATACCTATTTGAATTAAGCCATCTAAACTGAATTAACATGTTTTCTTTCCTTTCCAATATTCACATAGGTCATAGGTAATAACGAGTGTATAGGTAATAATTAAAGAATTGGAAATACCTACAATAATTACCTATTTACCTGGGTTATTATTAGGTATATAAACATTTTTTATTGTTTGAAAATTGTTGAATTTTTTGGTATAACATAAAATATAAGAGTTTTTATTAGTTGCTACAACATTAATTATTGAGATCTCCATGAGACTTTCTATTTACATTTACCGACTTCTACCATGGAGTGACTTTACATTTCCTTCTTTTCAAATAGCAGTTCGCAAAAATTGTGCAATTTTTTGCATTCTTCAAATTTGCTGGCAACACATAGGTACAACAATTGGTCATGCGGATGTAGGTACATTATTATTTATTATCCATACAAAGAAATCGTTCTTTCGTTGTTTTTAAGAGCAATGGAGATCATTAAACTTTAGGGATGGTAAGGGACCTTCATTTTGAAAAACACTACAGTTGATTATTTAATATTTTGGATTTATACCAAATCAGAACTATTATATCAGGTTTTAGGTTGCAAAATAAATGTTACCCTTCAATTGTATTGATGGTAATTTGACTTTTATAATTGAAAGGACGGCTTATATAGGTTACTACAACCGACAGTCGGGCTGAAGTCACTTAGCCATAAAATGCAATTAATGGGCCTTCCTTTTCCCTTTAATATCTGTAGAAATAATTATATTAGTAATCAATGGCCTATTGAAGGGGTATTAACTGGAAATTGCAGGCCTTTTACCATAATATTAATACTGACCGCTGAATAAAGGCCATGTGTCAGTAGAAGGCAGACGACTAGGCAGGTGATTCCGTAGTGTCTCTCTTTGACCAGTAACACCGTTTTGAACCGAGGTTTGAACTCTATAAATTATATCCCAAAAAAAAGGCATTCCAATATAAAATAAAACCAGGTCCCCACTAACTATATTTGGTAAATGTCTAGTTTGAGCTCTTTTGGATTACCCAAAAAATAAGCATAGGTACTTCTAGGTATTGCTATTGTAAACAAAAAAACTGAGTTCCATATCTTGTGCAAATAAATAATAAGGACACAAATAAATTTTTAAATAAAAATATGCCATTTTCTCTATTAATTTCCAAGTTCGTCAGATTTATACGGTGCTTTAATCGACTAGATTTAGTATTTCATTATGGCGTTAAGCATCAGACACCATTCGAAAATCAACGGTCCATTCTAGTTTAATACTATCCTATTTCTACGGATATTTCAAACAAGTGTAAATAACTAATTTAATTTACACTTTACAAATTCCAAATTCCACAGACAAATTAAAAATATTCGATGGATTTATAGTTATGTAGTTAAAATTTAATTTGTATATTTTTCTAGTATTGTCCTTATTCTTCTAAATCACTTAAGAACTTGTTAAACAAGTTTTCGAAAAATTATAATCATAAAGCTTACTTTAATATTCGTCGTTTAAATTTTAAAATTATTTTATTGTAATAATAATGTCTACTTTGTTTTATCAATCAGGTAACGAAATTTAAAATAAATGTATAATCAATACTAGTTTTAATAGTCAAGAATAATAATATATTGTTTAAGTCAAGATTTAGGTAGGTGCTCTTTCATCATTGTTTAATAAATTTAAGGACAAAATTTGATACTCCCCCATACTGCGTATTCGAAAACAAACCTGAGGACAATTTTTTTGATGACTACCTATTTGTTATAAATGTAGGCCTCCACGGTCTAGTGAGTCGGTTTGCATGCGTTTTTGAGGGGTAATTGCACATCAGACTCGCCGCTCTAATTGTACTTAATGACCCTATGGCGCCAGTGTAGTCTGCATTTGCGACCCAGGGCTGTATATCGTATATCTCCCTATGTGATATTCGTTGCTTCACCACCCGTATGGCGGTTATAAGAGAAGGGTACTCATTGAACAGACGTTGTACCTACATTCTACATTACTGAGACAATTTAATAACCTTGTTTATCATTTCGGTAAACAGTAGTGTAAATGAATCCAAACATTATTTTAAGAGAATTCACGATACAGTATTATCAGAAAAATAGGAGAATTTAACGGTAGCACTACTTTTTCACTGTAAAATAGTATAAAGGTAAAGGTGTAAATGTAAAACATTACCAAAATGAGTTTTACACACTTCGAATCGTATACCACATAAAATGACAACAGAAAATTTTATAATAAATAATAACTGACTTAACTAAGTAACGAGCTAACCCAGGCAGCACACTTTGGTATAAATTACGTATTTTTTTAGGTACTACCATACGTATGAATACGGTTGATGTACTACCAAATATATTCGTGAAAATGTCCGCCTTATAAACGTCGATTACTAAGAATTTATCCACCTATAATTAAACGTTTTTACTATACGTCTATATTAGATTTATAGTTGAAGTATATTTATACGAATTTACTTTGGTGTAAAATACGTTTTATTATGTACTACAATATACGTATGGATACTGTTGATATGCTACCCAATATATACGTAAAAATGTCCGCCGCATAAACGTATATTTTTTGAAGTGAAAACTTCTTTAGCGACGTTGAGCACTTTTGTGGGATGGGTAAAAACTGTGAAACTCGAGTCAGGACACGTGGGCTGATCGAAAATTCGTTAGACGGTTGGAGAGTAGTGTTGTAACATCGAAATCGATTAATCGAACAATCGATTTTGAGTGGAGATTTCAACATAAACTTTCCAGACGATAAAAATCAACTATTAATTGAATTTTTAAATAATGAATTTGGTTTAACTATGTCAAATGATCGCAATCTTGGCACAACGAAGTACAAAACTACTATTGATGCGGTCTTTATTAGACATTTAAATAGGTTCGAATCAAAACTGTTCGTTTCTTACTTCAGCTATCATAAACCTATCGTATCAGTTTTAGAGATTGGCGATGATGGTTCTGGTAATAATGATGGTAAAAAAGTCATTGAAATTATGGATGTAAGTTGATTTTTCTGAGAGATAAACTTTTTAATGTAATACAATGTAATTTAATGTAACATAAATTGTAATGTGTGTGTATGATAGCGCAATAAATATTGTATTCTACCACACAAATGATAGTACTTTTATATTGATAATAAAAGCAATTCGTTCAAAATTATTCCCTAACTATTCCAAAAAATCAAAAATGCACAACGTTAATATTCAAGTTTTCACTTCTGCCGGCACTCCCGGAGTGCAACCCGTGTTTTTTTTAATTTTTTATACGTCTAACATTACTACTTTATCTACCTTTAATTATCCTGTTTTACTATACGTCTATATTAGATATATTTGTATGATTTTTATTAATGTGTAAAATGCGTCTACCTGATATTGTTTTAAATGTATTTCAAACACAAATTAAATAAAGTGATCAAAACAAAATTTCTAAAAGAGGCCATGGAAAAATGTTAATATATCTTAAATGATAGTTTGGATTTTATCCATAGTGTGTATACACCAGAAATTGGCATTACTCGTGTTTCTATTTTGGTTGTAATTGGTCTAAATATTTAGAACATTTTTTTGATCACTTGTTACTTATATGTACAGAGCAAATTTAATTAAAAAAAAAAATAAACAATATAATACTAAAAAATAAATAAATACAAAAAAATAAACACTAAAATACTGAATAACAAACTAAACGAAACTTTTCTTTAACTTACAAAATATATATATGAAAATAAAAATCTTAGCTTAACACTTTGGATGTGTTGTGTCCTAGAGACGGACCTTAGCTAACTTAAGCTAATCTTGCATGGCACACCTAATCGTTCGGTCGGTTAAGTCGCTTAATTCACCCCCATTCCTATAACCAGAATGTAACTCAATTTCAGGTGAAATATTTTCTAAAAGCTCCGAAGTTAAATTTGTATTATTTTCTTGGAAATTATTATAAATAATAGAATCAGATGATCTATTAATGTCCGAAGCCTTATTAATGTTATCTACATTGGAAATAAAAAAAAATTGATTTGACTTTAAAGCATCTTGAACATTTTGCGCTATTTTTCTACGTAGATGACGCAGAGACAGGGTTATTTTAGACATTTTATTAAATAAAACACAACTGACCAAAAAAAAAGAAAAATAAGTATGCTTGGAATAACTAGGTAACCTAAAAAATACGTATAAAAATAAAAGAAACAAAAGTAAGGTTATGTTTTAAAGTTTCTATAAGCATTTAACACACTGTACGTACCTATAAAACAGTAGTTGTTGTAAAATGCAACAATTGTTAAAGGAGTAGCTAAAATAAAAAATTAATAGAAACTTTTAATCAATATTGTAAAAGCCAGGACGCCAAAGAAACATGCAACAAAACGTGTACACAAATGAAAATGGACGAACCGATGAACCTGCTCCCACAAACCATTCCCTACACTGAACAATAATACTACACATACGCATGAGTAGAAATGAGAAAAGACCGTACCACTAGTACGTCATCCTCCATCCGCCATCTAAAAATAGTTCCATGTGTATGGGGAATTTGTTATAAATATTACAGGTAATACAATTAAAAAAATATGGATGTAATGTAAATAAATATATCTATAAGCTTTTAATTTAAATAAACCTAAATATATACATATTATTTACTTCTGTCTACTAGTTCATCGTAAACTAGTATTAGGCGTTTAAGGTGACTTATATTTAAACGTAGAATAATATAGGTATATTAACTAGTATCGACAAACAGAAGCGTTTAATTTATCTGTTAAAAAACGTTAAGTATAAAAATGGTAGATGGTAAACGTTTAAAAAATCAACTAAGACGAAATTTAAACGGGAATTATAAACGAAGAAAACATATTGTAATATAATGTAAATTTATACGAATTTAATTTAAA